AACTGAGAACAACACTGGAGTCTGATAGCCCTAAGCTTGAGGTCAGTGGGTAGGTGGACCTTGAGGATTCTGTTGTAGACTACGAATTCTGAAGCTCTAGGGAACTACCTGTCCACCGCTGCAGCCCTCCAGCAGGGTGTTCAGTATGTAGTGGGTTTGAACGTGAAGGGGACAAGTTTGTCAAGATCTCAGGCCGTGTTTTCTTACCTTATGCCCAACACACTTGGCAGGTGCCCTCCAGTATGAGGCTCTTCAGGATAACAACTAAGTTTCAGGATGGGAAAACCTCTGCAAAGCTAACTGTGGCCAGCAGAGGGCCCCTATACCCAAAGGAAGCTACCCAAATGAAGACTGCTCTTGCTGACTTCTAACCCTTGTCTAGATCAGGCTCATTCCAGTAAGAATCATAGCAAGACACAAGCCTACAAGATCACGTGACAGTGCCCTGGCACACCCACTGCAGACTCCAGTCCTACAGTACTCAGAAAGAGCCTCTCTGACACTTTATCTTTTGTTATTGCCATTTCCTTCCCTTTATGTTATTCTTTTTATTACTATTTTGTCTTTTCCCAGTATTTTAAAAATTTTATGTGTATGAGTGTTTTGTCTATGTGTATTTATGTGTATAAATGTATGTGTACAACTTGCATTCCTGAGGCCCTCAGAAGTCAGCAAAGGGCACTGGATCCCCTGGAACTGGAGCTATGGATGGGTGCTGGGAACTGAACCCTGGTTATCTACAAGAACAAATTAACTACAAAGATTCTTTATTGAATTCCAAGCATTATAGGTCAAATAAGACAGTTACACAGTACTCTAGCCAACATTCTTCTAAGTACTTCTCTAAAGTAGGTCACATCAGAGGCCATAAAGCAAGTCTGAACAAATATGAAAGAAGTGAAAGAATGAAATAATTCATTGTATCTCTTCAGATCAAAGTTCAATAAGTAGAAATCAACAGCAAAAGAACCTATTGAAATTATACAAGTATTTCTACACTGTACAAAGTACTCTTAGATAACAAGTCACTGGGTCACTGAAGAAACCAGGGAAGAAAATGACGACTTCCTTAAAAGTGGAAGCACATCCTATCAGAACCTTTGGGGTACAGGTAAGACGTCTATAGAGTTTCTAACTATGACTACTATGTTAGGAAATCACAGTGGGGCTGGGAATGGCTCAAGTCAACAACGCCTCTCCTTTGCAAGTATGAGGACCTGGGTTCGACCACCAGCAACCACATAAAATCCCAAGATTTGTCACTTGTATTGGTTTAATAAAACACTGATTGGTCAGTAGCCAGGCAGGAAGTATAGGTGGAGTGACCAAAATAGAAGAATTCTGAGAAAAGGAAAGGCTCAGTCTGCAGTTGTCACCCAGATGCAGGGGAAGCAAGATGAAAATGCCTCAATAATAAAAGGTACCAAGCCACGTGGCTACCAAATACAAGAATTATAGGTTAATTTAAGATGTAAGAGTTAGTTAATAAGAAGCCTGAGCTAATTGGCCAAGCAGTATTGTAATTAATACCGTTTCTGTTTCAGGTCTGGGCAGCCAGGAACGAACAAATGCCACCCTCCCCCTCCACCCCCAACAATGCTGTAAACACAGTACTGAGGAGGTGGTAACAAGAGGCCTCCTGGGTTGGCTGTCTGTCTAGACTAATTGGTGAGCTTCAGGCCAATGAGAAATCCTGTCTCACAGCAGTAGACAGTATTCTTTTTTTTTTTTTAACAATTTCTTTTTTTAATATTTATTTATTTATTATGTATACAATATTCTGTCTGCATATATGCCTGCAGGCCAGATCTCATTACAGATGGTTGTGAGCCACCCTGTGGTTGCTGGGAATTGAACTCAGGACCTTTGGAAGAGCAGGCAATGTTCTTAACCGCTGAGCCATCTCGCCAGCCCCCAAGACAGTATTCTTGAGGAGGGCACCAGAGGTTACCTTCAGGTCTCCATGTGCAACGTCACTGAAAAACAGTGATCTTATATTTGAGCAACTTAAAGGTGTATCTAAAAGTGTTAGAAAAACAAGAACAAGATAAACCCCAAAGCAGTAGATAAGAAATAGGATAGAAATGAGCTGGACACTAAAAGAACAATACAAAGACTTAATGAAACAAAGTAAGTTTTTAGAAAATAAACAAGATAGAAAACTATTGTTCAAAAAAATTAAAAGAGAGGGAGGATATGATCAATCAAATTAAGCATGAAACCAACACATTACAACAGATACCAACAAAATCCAAAGGATCATTTGAAGGACTACCTTGAAAAAAATCTACATTCCAAAACACTAGAAGATATGAATTCATAACATAGGTATGCTACCAAAGTTAAATCAAGAGGATATAATTAATTTAGACAGATCTATAACAAGCAATGAGACAGAGGCAGTAAGGGTGTCACAATAGCACACCAAGACCATATTCTTTCCCTCATTCTACCAGTCATACCCAGGAATAGGTAACACTAACACTCTTCAAATTACTCCATGAAACAGAAAGATAGGAAAACTGCAAAACTAATTGTGAGAAGCTGGTATTAACCCTGATATCAAAACCATAGAAGTGCACAGCAGCAACAGAAGACTTCAGACTGATTTTCCTGGTAAACAGACACAAAAAGTCACAATAATTTGCAAATTAAATTTAAGAATGCAATAAGGAGAATAAACATTATGGCCATGCTGGTTGTATCCAGGGATGCAAGGATGTTCAATGTATGTAAATCAAGAGATGTGATGCAGACTCAAGGACTGAAGTTACATCATTTCAGTCAGTGCAGGAAAACCTTTCAACAAACGCTGGCATCAGGATATAGCCTTCCAAAGGCTAGGACCTCAGTGTGCATCTGCATGCCTGGCCTACCTCTCCTCTTTACCATGTTCTCTCAGCCCCCGGAAGCATTCTCATGGTTTTCCTCTGTTCATTTTGCCTGGCTTTTTTATTGCTTTGTACAGGACTCCTTAATTTCCACACAGGTCTCATCTCTTTTCTCTCCACTTTCCCTCAACCCTTCTCTAGGACTTAATCACTGATGTTAAATAATTTATCTTTTATTGCTTAAAAAAACTTGAGAAAGTTATTTCTCAACCATTTATTATACCATGAAACACCAGTTAAATCACATGGCACTTTCTGCTCCTGCCGTCCCCGCTGCAGTGTCTGGCAGAGCTACATAGATAACCTGATGGATGATGGCTGCTTCCATGAGGCCGCCATGTTGGCTACTGCGACGCCAAATACGTCTGGGCAGCCACAGCAGTAGAAATAGATATGATTGTAGGAAAAGGCCGGGAAGGTTTCTTTTTACCAACAGTTTGACTCTTGGTGCAAAGAAGTGTTCAGTGATCAGAGATAGCCTATACGTTGATGGTGACTGCACAATGGATATCCGGACAAAGAGTCAAGGTAAGAAGCCAACATACAATGTTGCTGTTGGCAGAGCTGGTAGAGCACTGGTTATAGTCATGGGAAAGGAAGGCGTCCATGGAGCCACACTTAACAAGAAAGAGTATGAACTCGCTTTATACCTGAGGAGGTTTGATGTGTAAGCAGCTTCTTCCTTCTATCTACCAACTGTCTTCATCACCACCCCAATTATGATCACAGTGCTACCAGACTGTAGATGACAGCTAGTTTTTCTTTATCTATTTTCTAATGTCATGATTCCCAAAGGGTCATTTGTATGTTAACCACTGTGTGTAACCAACCTTTATCTGGTCATTTGTATGTTAACCACTGCGTGTAACCAACTTTTATCTGGTCATTTGTATGCTAACCACTGTGTGTAACCAACCTTTATCTGGTCATTTGTATGTTAACCACTGCGTGTAACCAACCTTTATCTGGCATCATAACTGCAGCACAATAATGATTTGCATGAAATCTTGAAATTGGGGGAAGAGGGCATGCCGAATTGGGCATCACTTTGTCTTAGGAACTAATTAATGGGATACTGATTACTAAAATAAGTTAATATTAAGCCAGGTGCTGGTTGTACAATCTCTAATTTGATCAATGTCTTTTCAGCACTTTGAGCATTTACTTGGCTCATTTAGTCTTCCTTTTGTAGCGCATGTTTGGGAGGAAAAAGTGCATGCATCTTTACTTTACTCTCTTCTCATCCCCTCCCTTAGAACTTGAGGTATTTGGTTTGCTTCCATTCTCTTGTGTAGTGCCTGGTTTATTTAACTTAATTAATACCTCCTTTGTTGACGAGCTATCAGAGAGCTGCGGTGATTTGCTTTTACTACTATGATTGCACTTGAGACAGACTCTGTAGTGTCTATAGGATACGAAGAGTGCAACTGTCAAGAGCAAAGGCACTTCCTCCCATGACCTTACTACAATAATCACGCCGATCAGATTCCCAGGGACATTCTGTCATTGCAGTAGCTCAGACTTCTTGTCTTTTCTTTGCACACCAGCTCTCTTCTTGAGTAAAATTGTAAAAGGCTGCCATTATGGATGTTAGGTTCCCAACATAACCATCTGGAGTGTGTCCAGTTTATTTTTCATAGGACCAATTTTTATTTGCAGCTTAGGTTTTTATATGAAGTTTCATTATTGTGGACTTGGCTGTCTTGTGATGTATTTTTTTTTCATATGTATTCTGTGCCATACTATTGTTAAAATGAACTGTTGCTATTGTGAGATGGGTTTTCTTTCGAATGGCACTACTTTAGGGACATTCTAGTATTTGCTTCTATTGTTTGGGCATTGTGGATAATGTACCGATTTAAAAACAAATCTTGTTGCTGATTTGTCCATTTCTTTCCCTGCACTTTGTTACATCTGGTATACAGTCTAACTCATCTGATTTAATATGCATTTAAAAATGCCATAACTATTAAACACCTTGTTTATAGACAGATTAAATAAATGTATTCCAACCAAAAAAAAATCACATGGCACAAATATCCCAGTTTCATTATCTAACACTACTTAGTTAAATATATACATAGAAATTTAACAATGATTGAAAATTACCTTTATCACCCAGGTCTCTAAAAAAAGTTGATCCACAGCGTGCTATTTTGATTCCTGATAGTACATCCTCGATATCCTTAGGACAGACACACAAGGGAAAATCTTTCAATTTAAGGTATACAAGTTCATTTTCCAGGTCACCCCAAACGAACACATAAAGCCCCAGCACTTCTTACCTTCCTCGCCAGCTTCTTGACTAGTGTTTTACCTACAACAAAGAAGAACCATGACTTAGCACTCACACTTCTCCTCCAAACTCAGGCTGCATTAAGGAAGAAAATTATTTCTAAAATGAACAACTCAATCTAGGTAAGAAATAAAGCTGGCGACTTTAGTCAATATCTCTAATGTAAAATCAGGAGCCAAAGAATTCTGAAGTGAACACAATGATACTGCAGTTTTCTGCAAGGCCTATTCTCAGTCTCTCACATGTGAAATCTTAGTCTTTATTCCGAGGGCACTGTGCATTGATCTGTGCCACATGAGTCCTTTGTTTTTTAAAGTCGGTGTTTTGGTTTCACTGATTCAAAGACGTCACTTCAATAGGGTAGTTTTGGAAAGCTGCCCTGTTCCAATCCTACAGCGATCTCTTAAGTATACCATTGTCCAGCCCAGTTTGAGGGGCGACCAAGACTGTCCCAGTTGCTCTTCACAAGGTCTTATTAGACAATAGAGACCTGAAGCTCTTCCAGGTTTTCAGACTTCTTAAAAACTTTACTATTATTATTATTATTATTTTGTGAGTGTTGGTGTGTGCATGTCACAGTGCATGCAGGGTGATCGGAGGACAACTTTCGAGAGCCCCTTCCCATCACCTTGCTTAGGAGGCAGGTCTTACATGTTTTTGCTATGGTGTGCACTCTAGCCTAGCTGGCCTGTAGGTTGCTTTTGGGTGGCTCTCCAGTCTTCTACTTCCAATCTCACTGTAGAGGCGCTGGGATTACAGATGTATGCCACGCTCCTTTCATGGGCTCTCCAAATGCATTGAAATAATAAATGTTGTCTGTCTCAACCTAGTGATGAACATTACTGTGCAGGTGTAGAGACATCTGCAATCATATCTGTGAGGTTTCATGTTACTATCCTGGTCTAATGTTTTTCGCTGAGCATTATGTGCCTGTGAGTGAAAGTTCTTGATTGTCAGGGGCCATCATAGCACGTAAGTTACTATACAATCTGCAACTGTGTCTGTAAAGTGTGTATAAAATTAGTAATATAATGATGATTACTTGCTCTAGAAAATGGTGCAATACATATATTTTAACTTTTTGTTTGCTTTTGACACAGGTCATGTTATATAGTCCTCACTGTCCTGGAACTTGCTTTGTAGTACAGGTACACCTGAGAGCAGCCATCCTTTTGTCTTATTTCATGAGTTTGTATGGCAACATGCCCAGGACTATTTTAACTCTTAATCTAACAGTGTAATTATACATATAATTATGGAGGCAGTTTTATCATTTTTAATTAAAATTCAAAATATTAACTTAAAAGAAATGGATCATAATTCAAATTTATCACAATGTTTTTCTTTTTTATTTCTTGAAGGGTAGTCTTGCTATATTATAGCTCAGGCTAGCCTGAGACTGGTGACCTTCCTGCCTTAGGGTGTGACACCATGCTTGGTCTCCTAACATTTTTCTTAAAGTTCATTACCATATATATGTTATTTTTAGTTCTCCCAGTTTTTGAAAGAGATTGCACTCTATTCGGAAAGCATGTGAGGTGGCAATACCCGGCAGTGGGAAGGTGGAAGGGAATCGAGGCTCTGAGGTGGCTTCTAATATATGATAGTCAGATGCCTTTTTTGAACTTTAAAAAAAGTCATGTGCTTTATAAAAATCTATTTGAAACTTTATGAGTTAGGTAATGTCTGTTTGCTGGACGTCAGACTGTCAAATGGTTAGCCCAGTAACATCAGTGCCAGAGAAACAGCACTGAACAGTGCCACAATAAAGTCATGAGTGATAATATACTACAAGAATTAAAGCAAGAAGTAAATTATAGAAACTCCTGAAGAAGGGAGACCTCATATCTGCTTAACTGTGTAGGTGAGTGCTTAGCATGAAGGTGTGAAATTAATTTTCATAGTATTCCACCCCCACCCCCAGATCCTAGGCTTTTGAATAATAGTACTATCCTCATCTTACATATAAAACAAACAAGTAGGACGATTTAGGTCATAATACTGCCAGCGGAAAATCTGTATTCTCAATCAGATACTGGACAACCTGACCCAAGTGAATGTAACTATAGTCTCGTCTTCACAGAACTGATTCATCAGTAACATATGATTATAAAGGCGTTTGACTGTTGTGAATAAAAATTAAAATAGAAACATTGGTTAATTCATAGTAATTACAAAATCTGTTCATCTGTATATAGGATGATCATGGAACAGAGGAGCTGGTGTTATAAGCACTAGGCTAATCTGTGGCTTGATGTGCCAGGAAGGGGTCTATGTCTACCATATCACTCAGCAGTCACAGGAGCACAGAGGCAAGATCTGGTACCAGCCTCTGCTTTATAAACATGATAGAATTAACGTGAGAGCTGAATGAAATGCTTCAACTGTCAAAGAGAAGGGGCTGGAATGTTCTGGGCACTAAGGAAGTCTTCTGGGTTAACACCTCTTTGCTGTCATATTCCAAAACAGTCAAAACTGATACTGAGAAATGAGCTTTAAAGATGGAGTAAAACTCCTTGCAGTTTCCCGTTGACATAAACACAAAAGTAAAACAGACATCACAAGTGTCTGATAGTTTTTTCTGCAGTCGGAGAGGATCAGTGCGGGCAACAAAGGACAACGATGAGCAGGAGAAATGTCTGCAGATCGTAGGAGAGAAGGGTGGGAACATTCCCGCATCTCAGGGGAGGTGCAGTCTGTCCCAAAGATTACGAAGGACACCTGTTTTTAAAGCAAGCCATGCAGCCAATCCCCAGTTGGGGATGGGATGGTGATGCATCAGGGATAAGGAAGTTTTAAGTTATTTGTCACCTTACAGGGTGACAACTAAGAATATCCTTGTTGGGCACCATCTCAAGAGTGTGTGCATGTGCTCATGTGTTTTCATTAAAGCCAGAATGAAAATGTCATATACCGAGCGACTACGAAATGGCTACTCTTGTACCATCCTCAAGTGCCCTGAGAATTCTGATTTCTGTTTGACAGGAGTAAGGGGTACAAGACTCCATAGAGTGCTGACTTCACAGCTGATACATTTTTTAACAGTGGCTTTAGTGTCCTCCTGTGCTTTGAGAACTGGAATTTCCATGTTCAACACCGCATTTGGTACAGAAGCAGCTTAGGTGTTCACACTAGCTAAAAGGAAAAAGGAATACACAATAACACTTTACTCAGCTGTAAAGAAGTCGTGTCACATGCAGGAAAATGGGAGGAACTGGAGATCATCATATTAGATGAATTAGAGCAGGCTCAGAAGACAAACACATTTTGTTTCACAAGCAGATCTTAATAAAGAGACATAAAAGAAAGGAAGAGGATGGCATGGAGGAAGAAGAGCAAAGAAAGGGAGGTGAACATGATCAAGCTTCCTAACAGGCAGATATGGAAATGCCATCTGTGACTCACTGCTCGTACACTAAATACGCTACTCAGAAAGGGTGTGATGTTCTCTGTCCATTTTTTATTACTCTAGGTAAAATTTTGCTCTTGAGATCTAAAAAAATAGTGTATTGTAGAATATTATTTTCAGGAGTGTTACTTTTGTTTATGCTGCATTTGATTAACTGTGAAGCTGTGATTCTTTGCCTGTCTAAAATAACTAATGGTCCCAATAAAGAGAAGACTGGCCAATAGTGAGGTAGAAGCAAGGTCAGGCGGGGCTGGCAGGCAGAAAGCATAAAAGGAGAAAGAGAGGAGGTGGAACAACAGAAAGAGAACAAGGAGAGGAGGACATCAGGGGCCACCTACCCAGCTATGCAGCAAGACACAGAGCAAGTAAAGAAGGCGTACAGAAGAAGAGAAAGGTAAAAGACTAGAGGCAAAAGATAATTTAAGATGACAAAAAATAAGCCAGGCTAAAGCCAGGCCTTCATAACTAAGAGTAAGCCTCCATGTGTGATTTATTTGGGAGCTGGGTGGTACTCCCCCTAAAAGCCAAAAGAGCAAAAACATATCACAACATAGTGCTTCTTGATAAATGTAACGAAATAAAACAATTTATTATTGAAAGTTGATGAGAAAATTCCCAGTTAGGCAGGAAACAGAAATCATCAGATTCTTTGTCTTAGCAGACAAATTAATAATACTCTTAAAAAGTCTTAGTGTTTGTATTTCATGATTACAAGTTCAGAAAATTATTTTAGAATCAGTTAAGAAAGACAAAAAGTTACACTCACTATGAAAATATTCATATTAGTAAAATAACTGTAGGAAATTTAAATGCTCCCATATAGTTAAATTATAGCATACTAATGAAACAGTCAACATTCTTTCAAGCAGCAATGACAGGGAAACAGAAGAGGCTGGTTATGAAGTGCACAGCAGACAACGCATGGTCTTACATCTGTAAGTGAAAAGGTGTTTTAAAGGGTAAACCTTATGGCATGTGAATTCTATCTCTGTAAAAAATTTACAGGCCAGAAAAGACATGTGCTAAGAATGCTGGTGACTACTAGGTGGCGGGCATCTGATTCTGGATGACTGCATTTTCTACTCTACAGATTGAACGGCTTCCGTTTTCAAAATGGACAGCCTTTTTTCTCACACTCTCTAACTTCACCATCTACAACACTCGGAAGCAGATACTACTTACTGCTCTGTGGATCTAGAAACAAGTCAGGAGGCTTTGGCGCTAACCCAGAGACATAGAGACTGCTTCCAGTCCACGTGACTCCATGTACTACCCTCGGCCTTAGCACAGTGACACATTCTGTGGTAAGTCACCTCACATATGTCCAATATTTCTCACTTAACTAATGGGAGTAAGTACCTCAAGGGTGCTTGGTTAAAAGCGCAGGAACACAGAGAGACTGGAACACAGAGATAAGGGAATGATGGGTCACTTCTGTGCCTTTTGCCCAGATTTCTTGAGCAATTGATAGCTGGCCCTACACGAAACTTTAATAAGGCTACTACTGACAATCACACTGTCTTTTAAGTCCAGTATCTCTTACTACTAAGGCTACTTCTGCAAGCCTCTGACATTCTTCCCTTTCTTACAACTTGAAACTGCGTTCTCTCAC